GAATACGGCTCTGGTATCAGCAGACCTGTCGCAGTTAGCCCGCCCTCAAGCATACTACGCTTAATGGTCTATTGTACTCTAAATGGGACCATGATTTACTAAATGAACATCATGCTGTATTGGAGAAGGTAATACATCAAGTGAGAAGTAGAGATATTTTCTCATAGACTTCTATACAATCAAACTTCTTTTTGTAACCGGAGGAGTCGCCCCCTGCTGTTCAGTAGAGAGAATGCAAGTTTTAAGACACTTCCGCATTGGCTTCCCTCGGCAGAACCGGAGGTTGCCGGCTGCTAGTAACGTGTCGCGTACCTGTGCAACCACAACCTGCTGGCCAGTGAACGAGGTGGGAGGCGGGACTACACTACAAACATACACAACGCTACAGTTATTCTCAGCTGCATGCACAAGTGTGTAGTACTGCGGCCGATCAATAGGGTCATTCTAGGTGGCATCAATCTTGTCATCTAACTCCAATAAATGGATACAATTTTGCACTATATATAAATTAATGCTGGAAGCCCTTTATGTGATGGTGGTACATTCTTAAATAGAAAGGCAGTATAGAACTTTAGCCTTGCAACAGAGTGGAATAAAAACCATATTTCTTATTTTAACAAAGAAAGTCAGTCTAGCGAATATGCAGCTTTATTACAAAAACTATTTCCAGGAGAAACGGATGGATTAAATGCTAATCATTTGGAAAGTGCACTTATTGAGATTGTAGTTTGGAGACCTTGAGTGGGGAAGTCACATTTCTTAAGGCCAGAATCTTTGACAGTCTGTTGCAGAGAGGAAAATGTCTCGGCTTTACATTCCAGTGGCGAGGATGAAAGTGAGCAACTGTCCAGAACGAGGGCCCGCTGAATCGCCATGGGTCACAGCTCACACCAGACAGCTTCGACTTTACATGTGCCTGTAAACACGGTGCTGGATTTGTATGTAGCTGCCGCCTGCCTGCCCTAAAACTAAACTAAAATATGTGTATCAAGCTGCAACTTGGCCATGGAACTAAAGAAAATAAATAAGCAGAAAAAAACTTGAACCATTACTTTTTTTTTTTAAAGAATTCTGTCTATCGTAGAGCCTCATTTTGAGAAGTGAAAACACTTCTGCCTGCTAAGTGCAATCATTAATATCCAGTCCAAAATCACTCATCGCAGTCAGACACATTCACTTGTACTCGCAACACACCCATAGATCAAAGTCGTTTTTCGTGATTCATACCGCATTGCTCTTGGACAGAATTGTTATCAAGTGTTTCACCACTCAAGTACTGCCAAGATAATAATCTCTCGGTTGCTCTGTAACAACATGTACAGCGGTGTTGGAGCACCACTTGTCAGGCAGATGCTTTCTGAGCCGAGTGGTAAAGTGAAGCCGGATTGATCCCCTCCACCCACTCATCAGCGAGTGGCCGAGGGCTACCCCGAGGCTCAACCTGCCTCAAACACTCCGATCATAACGAGAACACAACCGTCTGACACGGCATACCCGCTGCAGAGAAAGAGAGAAGACAAGAGAGTACATTTTGTCTGGGTAAAGGGGCATGTATCTGTTCGGAGCTCATCTGCTTTAATTTAGTGAGAAGTAACGCGTAGGAGAGACTAAAGAGTGACATGCCACTTACGTTCAGCGATCAAAACCGCAACGTCCTCAAACACAAAGTCCTTAAAGTGGCAATCTTTAAAGAAGACATGCTCATTTTCAGGTTCATATGTGTATTTCTACTAGAACACATTTAAGGTACAATGTTGTAGAAAGAGACATTTTCATGTCGAGATAAAAATAAATATATATATTTTTAACATTAAAGCATGTAAATATTTTAGTCTTGGATGATTTAGAATTTCTCTTTGTGTGAAAACAAGTAAATTGTGCTGGACTTTAGCAGTCTGGAGTCTTTTTGTTGATACATTTACTTCGAGTTTTCAGAATTGTGTACATAGGTCCAATTTTTTAAGTGGAGAAAAACTGTAAAACAGCATTTTTTTCCAGGAATGTCACTGACAATGACACCCAGTTAGTAATACTGCAAATACTGCAATACTCTCATCAGTGGGCCATAGCCTCAATCACCACTGTGTTACCTCCTTCAGCAATAGTGACTTAACAGACACTTATTGAAATGAAAATCCTCAAGATTGCCACTTAAACTTTTCAAAGTCACAGAGTCTTTTTTCCCCCCTGGCTGACCTGAACGCATCTTCCATTTGCCGGCTGTTAAAAATTTCACTGCCAAAAAATTGTGCTCCGGTACCTTTGGCAGGCAAATAGAGACTTTTGCGTCTGCTTGTTATAAAGTCACATCCAGTCTGTGAGGGGATAATAGCAACAGCCCGACAAACACCACTGCGGGAGCTCGTCAGGAGTACGCAACGCAGAAACCGTACAGCCTGACAAACGAGAGTGAAGGTGATGAAAGAGGAGCGCCAAAGGAGAGTGTCCACCCGTCTGTCTTTTTCTGTCTTGCTGCTAAACAGCGAACCTTCAGAGAAGTTCAAGGCCATGGGCAGAAGTAAAAGCCCCATTAAAATGGTTATTTTATGCGGCTCCACATACAGTTTCAAAGAGCGGTCCAAGCGACCACAGACACAGCCTATACACTCTCTCACTGTCCCAATTACACCACACACACACACACACACACACACACACACACGCTGACACTTCCATGCTTACACAGACCTGCAGCATATCCAGCTTTCTGTCAAGTAACACATAATGGGCCGGACAGGACCGGGGAAAGCAACGAAGGGGACAGAGGAGAGCTGTGCACTGTGACTGCTTTTTTTTTTTTTTTTTTTTTTTTTTTTGGTTGCAAAAATATAAATAGCGCACGGGCTGACAGCGAGCTTTCTGACACACTGGGTGTAATGCAGCCGTTGCTTATGGCTGACAGAGAAAAAGCACAGCTACTTCATTAAGTGCAAAGGAAAAGAAAGCGGAGGACAAAGCAAACAAAGCAAGAGTTGGGTGAAAAAGGAAAGGGGTGAGTGAGTGAGTGTTGGGGGTGGGTGGGTGATGGAGGGGGGGGGGTTCTTCTTCTTCCTTTCCTTCTCGCTCATAGTGGAGACTCGAGCAGTATCTCTATAGGTAAGCTTCCCCGTCACTTGGGCCTCACATTGCCAAGGCTGCTCGGTTCCCACAGTGTGCCCGGGCCTGGATCTGGCCTTCCTACGCGCTCAGGCAGCCCCGCGTCTTTAGACCCCCAGGCCCCGGAGCAGAGGTTACACCAACACAACCAGCCACAGCAGCATGTCAGCCCCACACCAACCGTTGCCTTGGTGCCGCCGCATTAACGAAGAGCTCCCGACTCCGTTCGAGGGAAAGTGATTTGCCATGACGTGCATGGCTCCCCTCTCTCCTTTCCTTCTCTTTTTCCTCGCTTGTTGCTGCTCGCTCTCTCTCTCTCTCTCTCTCTCTCTCTCTCATTTTTCCCTTCTTTGTCATTCTCTCCACCACATCCTCAATGTCCTCCCTCATTCCACTGCTCCCTCGCTCCCTTTTTTTCTTAGAGTAATGACCGAGGCCTGAAACACTGTGCCATGATTAGACTGACTGATGAAAGACAAAGGCTCTTGTCGGCAACATCTGCATTGAATAAATATTGAGATGACAAATTGTGCATTTTTTCTTTTAAGTCTTCATCGCTCATCCCTCCAGTTTTTCCAAAATGGTTCCCAGCTTGAAGACGTGTCAGTGCCACAGAGTTGCCACCAAACATCAAACGCAATATTTATTTTCAGTTGGGCACAAAATATGCTCACAAATAACTCCGGAGCCAAACACAGAGAGCACGTCGCTGCCGAGCTGCTCGCCTTGCACCGACAAAACAGGAACCGGAGGAGAAGCCGAGCGAGCGGTCGTCCATGCCGTTTCGCTTGCCGACCGAGAAACAGGTGCACGCCACGGCCGACCCTCGACACTCACGCAGCGGCATTCCACGCCACAGGGAAGTGTGTAATCGATGTTGTGGAAAATAAAGTGAGAAAAAAGTAGTTCTAATTGCAAAATGTAAATATTGAGTTTTCCCACAAGTGGGGGCAGACCACCCAGGATGCAAAATAGTCACCCACCCCCTTTCCCCTTTTTGCCTTGTCGACCGCCTGAGAGATGTCTTTTTGTGTGTGCGAAACATCACCGGCCACAATCGACACTCGCACAGAAAAAGAAAAAAAAAAAACCCCGGCGTTTCTTTTGCATATACTCCTGGCAGCTCTGGCTTGGCATTTGCATTGTGGGAAAATGAAGTGGTGAAAAAAAAAAAAAACCCTGAAGGAGAAAGGCTGAGGGGATCACAAATTGAGTGTGTAACACCGTGTCTTTCTTGCTCCTGTAAGGTGCCGGGGGGTTTTAAATTCAGGCTGCCCTTGTCTGGTCTGAATAATTTCTCACAAGAGAGGAGAGCAAGAGGGCAGCCAGCTGAGCAGGCCGGCACTGTAGCTGCAGTGTCTGACAGACAGAGACTCCTCCGTGTGCGTGTTACAGGCCGGTGTCAAATACTTGTCTGGATCGTGGCAAATACCTCCCGGTAGTCTCACTACAATCACCTGCAGGATCAGATATGAAACATAACTGTTCACACTGATGATGCCGTTTGAAGATCAAAGGCAACAGAGAACTTAGTCAAACTCAATTCAAGCCTTTTTTTTCTCCGCATAAATACAAACAACTGAGTGTACAGACAACAACAAAAAGAAATTAAGTGATTGCAAAATGAGTCAGTGGATGAACAGAAGGAGCCTGTTTGAATCAAACAGAGTAATCGTTTGATCCAAAACTTCACTTTAAACCTCTAATATCCCAAATACTCTTCTTTTTCTACTTGTTTTAATAAGCCTAAATTAAAGTCCCATTCGTTTAGACAGCTGATCACGTGTCATCACTGCCGGCTTTCCAAAAATCATCCAACAAACCTATCAATTAGGCACCAAACCGATCATTCCCAGCCATCAGGAGGAAAGAAAAATTTGCTTTTTGTTGACGTGAAAACTTACCTTGACTGGTTTTACTTCCTGAAGCGGACTGTTGGACAAAGGCGACCAAGCAGAAACCTACAAATCCAAGGCTCGCGCGTATCAAAGCGTGCATATACATCTTTAACTTAACAGCTACAGTCGGAACACGAGCACTTTCTGAGAGCTACGATGCGCGCGAGAGCACATGCAGAGGGTGTGTGTGCGTGCGGTATAAAGGTCTCTTGTTATTCCCTATAAGCACCCGCTGGTAGGACACCGCGCGATCCTGTTTCCTCTTTACGCCTCGCTTATACGACTTTCAAGTGATCGGGGTTGAGGACAGCCCGGCGGCGCGGAGCGGAGGAAGGCTTTTCTGTTATCATGTTTCGAGCCAGACCGATGTCAATTTAAGAAAGGGGGAGAGAGAGAGGAAAAGAGAGAGAGAGAGAGAGAGAGAGAGAGAGAGAGAGATGGAGCGGCGGGGTCTGAAGGGGGAGGAGAGAAGAAGAAGAAGCGTCCGCGCTGCGCTCCGGACTCCTCTGCTGCTCCTTCTCTTCTCTGACTGGCCCTCACCGTTTCCTTTTTTTCCCTTCTTTTTTTGTTCAGCAGGAATTTATTACACGCACGCACACACACACACACACACACACACACACACACACACACACGTCGGCGAGAAGGTGGACCGGGGTTCTGTCTACCACGTGCTCGGGCTGGCGTGGTCACCTGGCCGGTGTCACCTGCGCAACAAACAAACAAAAAAAGTCCCCCCCCCCCCCCTCACGTCTGCGGGGTGGGAAGCAATGGGTGGGGGGGCAAGAGGGCGGATGGATTTATAAAGGACTCAGATGGGAAAAGTAATAGCCTGGAGATTGCATTTTGTTCTTAGCTCGTGTGAAGCTGCAGCTCATCCAGTCCGACTCTCAAACCAATAAGCGCCCATTTTCAACGGGTCGCGGGGTGCAGCGTTGACCTGATGGAGTCTGCTGATGGAAGAGGAATGTGTTCATCAGAACGGTTCGTTTTATCAAATGTTGACATTTAGAAAAAAAAGTCTATGAGTGATCCAAACACGAGTAGATGTTCGATGGCATTCTTAAAAACTATTTAATTTAGGAGGGGGGAGATTACTTTATATCCTCAATGCCTACAGCATGGAGTTAAAAGTTCAACTGAGAAAAGCACTAAATTGCATATTTGAAAATGGGAAATGAAAACCTACAGTTTTTCATTTTATACCTCCACTGATTTCCCTGCATCATTATTCCAGGTCAATTTAATCTCCCTGTTTTAGCTGGAGCTGGACCTGCATGAAGAACTGAAATCCATGTGAACCAGCAACTTGTATGAAAAAAATAGGCACATGATGAAAATATTTTTTCTTAATAAAAGTCCCTGTGGATACTACGTTGAATGAATAAACTACACCAGCTGCTCACAATACACTCGGATGAATCAGGTACGATGGCTAACAATCACTAATTGTTTACAGGGACGTTGAAGAAAGCGTTGTAATAGTCATCTGGTTTAGGGACCAAAAACAAAGCACACTATATTGTTTTTGTGTCATCTGCTTCCAAAACCATAACCAACGCCACATTATCTGCTCGTCAGTATTGAGTTTTTTCACTGCAGGAGATTCAGCTTGACTGCCACATTGATTTTTTATTTTTTTAACAGGCTTAGAATAACTGATGTCAGAAGTCAGTCGTATGGAGAGTCACTTAGGTATGTGTGAAAAGCCAGTTTGCTATAAAATCCCAAACATCAGCCTTCCCTGCAAA